TCCATTATAGTCCCAATTCCTTCTATTCTCAACAAAGCCATGGCTTTTCTAGCAATTCATTTGCCCAACTTTAGGCGCAAGTCCAACTATCTTACTGAACACTGCCTACTGCCATATCACACAATTTTTACAATAATCTCTATGACCACAACTAGGAAGATGTGAAGCATCATATACCTATTTTCTTGCTTTCGCTAGGCACCCTTTCATTCTGCTGCCAATCATCGTTATAATACCTCACATCTATTTGTCCAAGTTTATATACAACGAAACACCTTCTACTATCAAATTCTTCGATCCCAAAGTCATTTATCCCACCATCATGATCTATATATAGTGTCGAAAATATTTGCTCTACTTCCTTGCTGATAAAGCATCTAAGATTATCTATTCCACAAACCTGCCTTTCAGTTTTGTCAATCAATGCCGATTGCTATCAGGTATCTTTTTTTTTTTTTTTTTTCATTAATTACATTCTCAATTTACTACTGGGGAATATAGCAGTATCTAACCCAAATCTTTTTTTGGGGTTTTCACAGCAACCGCTTGATGGGCAGCACAAATTATCTCGTAAAAATTTTCGATATAATAAACTTGCGTTCCCAGGTTATCCTTATCTTGTTTTAGCAGATGCAGTTCCTCTGTTGCACCAATACGATGAACTTTAAATGTATTAACCGCCCAATATTTGAACTTCACGTTACACTGAAGGTCTGGATTCTCTAGTACATTTAAACATTCCTTAGCGACTTCTATCCAACAAGCTTCGCTTGTTTTTTCTTTTGTTAATGAATGTCTCTAATAATCAGTTAGAGGTTTTACGAGTCATAAAGTTATATTCTTGCGAATCTTTTACCTTTCGTCTCCACCTCATTGTTGATGATAGCATCTAACCTTAATCATTCTACAGACCTGTCTTTCATTCTATTTCAATTCCGTTAATCAAAACCGATTGCTACCATAGAATTTTGACTTCTCTGATCACTTCGACTCTAACTGCTCTGTACCATGAAAGATCATCTTAACACCTTCATTGATAACCGTGTAAGTTTAATACCAAGCCTACTCGAGTCAAGACAATAAACTCATTGACACAATGATGGAAACTGATTTTAGTTACAATCAGTACTTTTCAAATCAATTTTATTTCCTTTATGGTTTATAAAAGTCTCGCTTATTTAGAAGGTTTATTTATTTAGAAGGTTCGTCTATTCTGGGTATTGTTTATTACTAAGAATGTTCCAAAATCAAGAACCGCGATAATTTGTTATACAGGTATTTTGCACGAAAAAACCAGACAAAGTCGGGTTAGCAGAAAAAACAGAAACTATCTTGTCCGGAAAAAAACCCCATCCCCTTAAATATACTTTCGTCAAGATACCACATCATTACGTAACTATTCCGATAAGCTCAACAATTACCAACTGAAAATACTACGTCACTTCATCAATACATTTGCATGATCCATACTAATCATGCAATTAATCATAACCGAATCCTCTGATCAATTTACACTCCGTGTTCGATTCGTGACAAAAGGCTGCTCCGATACTTTCGTATCGGGCAGCTACAGTATATAATAAAAATAAAAAATTAAACTTTCTAAGTATGTATTTATATACTTACACATAAAAGTTTGAAAAAAAATAAATGAAAAGCTTAAGTTTTTTCAAACACAAGTATATGAAAAAAGATGTTTGAAAATAAATGTTCAAAAGGTTTTTTTTTAAAAAAAACTATACGTATCAATTTTTTGTTATCGAGTATATGAAAAAAAACGTGTATTATATATAAATATTTTTATAAGTAACACAGATCAAAAAAGACTAGTAATCACGTTTAGATCATATGATCATATGCTATTACTAGATTGAGAAAGTCTACGGACAGGATCCATGTATTATTTAGCAAATTCAATATAGCAGTCCAGTGTTCTAGAAGCAAATTCTGATCTTTTGCATATTTTAATCGCAAGATCAATATTAAATTTATAACCATCAATGGATCTTTGTTCAGTCTACATTTCTGATATTATAATTCCGAAGCCGTAAATATCAGCAGCTCTTTTAAACTTTTGACTTGATAAAACTTCAGGTGTGACATAAGAGTATAATGGTTGGCTTGGGAGAGCGACGCACAATGAATGCGTAGTGTAGCTCCAACCGTTACTACGTAGAAGTTAGGTGGATTGAATAATAAAAGGTTTCTATAGGGCATAGTAATTCTATTAGGGCGACTTAACGATTGTGTGAAATTAAGGAGAGAATATCATTATATCTGTTACTTATTATGAGAACGAGGTTCTTCTGTTTATTAGAATAAATGCCTCACTTTTATACATTTTGATTAATATGAAAGAGAACACATTCTGGAACCTACTTTATAACATCAGAGGCGTGTTAGCCTCATGTCAATATGCACACTGCCTCCTTCGGGATTTAACAATCACCCTAATTTAGTTAGATAATCAATTACACCAAAAAGGGTAAGATATAGCACCACCTTCTGAACCGCATATAACGGCGGATTTTTGCACAACCCCCAAATTTAAGGGTATTGGCCAACAGCAGAGACAGTGCCCGATCCAGAGTGAATCCCTCTCCCCTGTGATCAATCACAAATTAAATTACAATTGTGATGGATATGAGTGTCGCTAAAAGAAAACCCGACAATTTATATATAAGTCATATTTAAATTGTCGGGTTTTTTTTTAGCGATACTCATATAATCCCTCACCAGTTTTAATATATGTGCAACATTAATGGTCTCTGCTGTTGTATTGGTCAACTAGTTGGGGTGGAATTAATGTTTTTATTATGGTGCCGGCACTGTTTCCTTTTTCCCGGTAACCAGTTAAAGGGTGGGGTAATCAGTTAGACACAGCTTTTATTAATGTTTTTTTTTTTTATTTTGGTGCTTTGTAAGACGTACAGATCATATTGACCATTCGTATTATGGATATGCCTATCTATAGTGCATAAGATCCATTAAATTTGCTCTACTTGAGCGGGAGTTAGAACATTTTAAAGATATTATTTAAACGATTATATTATAAAGACCTACTAAAATTCATATATTAATATTAAACATAGCATTATAGTTTTAAAACAACGCTATTTTTATATTATTTACAAGTTACAAAATAATGCTACACTATGATAGTACATCATGTGACCTAAAGCCAATAGAATTGTTTATTTTGATCAAACACGGATCAGCCCGAAGAAACAAAAACAGCGAAAAAAAAGTAAAAATTACAAAGAATATGAGAAACGATAGTCTAAACCCATCTTGGTGCATTAATAAAAAAATGTCGAGAAGACAATTTTACTATCCTTTAAACCATCAGGTTTAGTATACAAATTTGTATACTAAAATATTTTGAAAAAAATTGGGTATAAAAAAAAGTTTTTTTTTTATAAAATTTTATTCTAATTGGTTGTAGTGATTCTTTAAGACCCGAGTTACATAGCATACCTGCAGCTATGGTGTGAAATACTTTACATAACTTGATTAGAAAGTAAAAATTTATATGATGATTAAAAAATATATCATTTTACCCAAACTTTTGAGCCATTGTATCTCTTTAACATCATCTTAAAAATTAATTATATGAAGTTGGTTATGAAAAATCCTTGATCAACTTTAAAGTTATATTATAAAAGGGACCTCTGTGTAGTGATTATAAAAAATCTTTATAAATATTATGTGAAAGTGCTTTTTTTAGTATTAAATTTGGATATGAAGATCCTATTATGGTTGATACAAAATAACTGATTTTTGGAGTATTGATAAAAAAAAATTTTATGAAATAAGAATTATATAGCAATCAGAATGTGGCATACTTTCATTTTAGCTTAGAAAATAAAAGGTGTGGCTTAATAAAATTTAGAGTAAATATACAAAAACAGGTTAAAAATCATTTTAGCATACAAATTTGTATACTAGACAATTTAAGGGATAAAATATACTTTGATTCTAACCCCAAACTAACTCTTACCCTAACTTTAATCAAAAAATAAAAAACACATGACTGGATATAGCTTTAGACATCTCCCAAAACATAGCGAGAACTATACATGTTCATACAATATTAGCCAGATACAACTAATTAAAATCAAGTAAAATTTAGAATTGACAAGATCAAAAAACCTAGCTACTGCACCAATTTTGTCACAGATGATTCTTGATTTTGATTAGCTAATGGT